TTCTCTTTCCTGTGCAGACGTCGATGTAGACAAACCGGATGAGAAATCCATCATGACGTATGTCGCCCAGTTCCTGAAGCATCATCCTGACAGAAAGCAAAGCGACTCAGACGGACTTCTCCAAGTGGAGGTGACTTGACATTAGCTGTGTCTCAGTCTGCATCTGTCAGTGTGTGTCCAACGTCTTTCTACGTCCTAATGGTTGTCTTCTTCGTTAATGTTAGTTCAGTTTGCCAGACTATTGAACTAAGAGTAATTATGGGATTGATTCAGAGAAACCCAAAAACTGACTTTATTCACAGGTTTCTGATTTTTTTTTAGGATTTGTTAAGAAGATTTTTTATTTTACATTCAGAATATATTAAAGGTAGTATAACATATTATTTTTATAAATATTAAAATTCTGCCTTTTCCCAACATGAGCATTGTAAGTACAAAATATTTTCTGAAATAAGTAAGAATTATTTATGAATATGTTGTTCTTCTAATCTTTTGACAAAAAAGTCAAAAATTATATATTTTCACTGTTCTTTAGAAAAAAAGTCACGATTTTAAGTGAAGTTAGAATTCTTGACAAACCATGAACAAAATCCATATTAACGTTAATGTATATTGTTTTCAAAACTTTACAGTATATGTTGACCTTCATTTACCGTCCATTTACGTAAAAGCCAAGCCAGTAATTTTTAAATTGAAACCTAAATCTGTAGAAATGTTCTGATGTCTCTCAGACCAGGAAGTGTGTCTTTGTCTTTTGTCTTTTTGTGTTTTGTATCGCTCTGCTTCTTTCTGTTTCTGTGTGTGTGTGTGTGTGTCTCCCTCTCTCTATGTCTCTCTCTCTCTTTGTGGTAACTGCTGTCTTGTGCTTGTTTTGATGACCTCTGACCTGCAGTGTGGTCTTGCTCCTCGGGACATAGAGGAAATGTTGGAGGTAGGTGGTGCAGCGCCCCGACGGAGCAGGATTTATCCATTATGTCTTGCAGCCCACTGCAAATTGCAGCCATACACATTCATGGTTTCCATATAAATCTGATTAAGTGCTATTTTTGTGGCCCTTTTATTAAATTACTGTACAGTTGTGTACTGCTCTGTTAGAACACTGTCTTCCCGTGTCACAACAGACCTGACATGATAATATTTTCTTTTTCTTTAATCATAGCTGATGTTATATAAGTGTCTTGGGGTTTGAAGGCCGTAATAACAGAAAGGAAGTCCAATATAGTAGGATGTGATATTACCATGTATTAATGTTTCCACCTACTGCAGAGGTTCCTGGTCTCATTAGCATGACAATGAAAGCCTCTGGCAGTGGCCGCCTGCATTCATACAGCATGTTTGATGGAAAGCTTGCAAACAGCCGTGGCGTAGCTGTAAGGTTAACAGTGGCAGCGTCCTATGAAGCTGAAGTCCCAGCCACTTACACACAATGTGTGTGTTCACACGGTGTTCACTTGCCTCTCTCTAGGATTTTTTATTTTTTTTGTATGTTTGTTTCAGAGATGCTTCTCGTCTTTTTATTTGACAGCTCTTGAAAACATGTCAGTGTGTGCCTGCGTGTTGTCCTTTAGTAAAAAAAAGACAGTATGCCATTGTGTTGTTGCATAAAAACAAGTATGTTGTTAGGAAAATGAGGCTGTAACAAGTATATAAAAAAACAGCTTCAAAATTATCTTCTTTTGTTCTGACAGCTGTCATATTGAAATAAAACATCTTTTTGTTAAGTTAAAAACAGATTTCCAAAAATGCTGCCCGTGCAGGTTTGAAAATGAATAGAATTTTGAGTGGCGCAGCATATAATTGTCATGGTTACTAAGAATCCAAAAAAGGCTTAGTGGGGGGTCTTAGACAAATACCCTGTTTTTTTTGGCAGCTGTAAGTTTTGGACATTTGTCAGACAGGATTATAAGGAGGAAGAGGAGTAGGACATACTAATGCTTCCTTTTTCACCTCCTTCCTCAAACATCCAAACATTCCTTGGGTTTATTACTACTCTCTTATACCACATCCTCCCACATTAAATTTATTCCCCTACACCCTAATCCCACCCACCCTTATACTTTTTCATGCCCGTGTCCATCTTCTTCCATGTGTCACTCACTCTGCGACGTCTCCCTTGCCTCCCCCTTTGACTACAGAGAGAGCAGCGTAAGAGCCTGAGGGAGTTAAAAATGTGGCTGGACCAGCTGGAGAGAGAGGCGGTGCAGACTCAAGGGACTGAGGCCAATCTCTCACAACAGTACCAGGTTAGTGCATGTGTCTGTGTGTATCACAGAGCGTGTGCTCTGTTCGAACCGGGCACAGACGCTCCTATTATTAACTTAATCAGTGGGACTACACTGTGGGAATCAGACGGCAGACGTCATATTTCTGAAGTCAATCTGGCTTATTTCACAAAGCCTGGGGATACCATCCATATTCAGCAGCATGTCAGGGATTCTCAATTTTTTCCCCTATGTAATTTGGAAGAGTCTGACAATCTGAAAAAGGAATATTTCGTTTGATTTCATGTACCATATTCTTTTTCAGTCCTTCAAGAGTGTTCGTGTGCAGCTGGAGATGAGGAGAAAACAGGTGGAGGGATCTTTACAGTCTACTCAGAAAGACGGAATACTGACAGTGGACCAGGCTCTGGTCAAACAGGCCTGGGAGAAGGTCTCGAACAGGGTGAGAGAAGCAGCTATTTAAATAACGATATTAAATATAGAGAAGCAGTTAATTATGGTTAATTGTGATTGTGGTTCATCACAATCAATCATGATTAATCTAGATGAACCAACGTTCCTAAATATAACAACAATAACAGCAGGTAGATGTTTGTGTATCACATCCTTTATGAGTTGTGACTGATCCAAATGATGGAATTATTAATAATAACTCAAATTTTATCTTTGCACAGCGAGTGGGTGTTATTCATTTTTATCTTCTGACACTGTGTGTTCAGCTCCTAGACTGGCATCTGCAGCTGGACAGGTCTCTTCCTGCCCCTCTCAATGTGGTGGGAGCATGGCTTCATGAGGCAGAAGGAGCTTTGCGTCAAGAGATCCACATCCAGCAAACACATGATGTGACCGCCAAGACCGTTCACGCAGCCCTGGAGCAGCATAAGGTCAGCATGATGTGAAAATGTGTTTTTGTTTTTACTTGACATGTACAATAGATCTTAAACCGTACTTGTCTCTACTTCCTGTATGCTGTTTTTGTACAGGCCGTGTTAAAGAGTCTGGAAGGACATCAGCAGATCTTTCAGAGGATCCACAAGGACAGAAGTGTCGATGGAGTCCCGGTTCCTCTTGAGCAACTCCAAGACATGGCTGAGAGGTGGGAACAACACCAGATCCATCCAGTCTCTATGCAAAAGTCTCAACATGAGCTCCTGTTGCTGAAGTGGTTTCCTCCATGTTTATTTTTGTGCTTTAGGATGAACTTTGTCTCGACATCCTACAGCATCCATCTGGCTAAGATGGAGTTTCTGGAGAACAAGCACCACATGCAGGCCTTCCTGGGTCTGGCTGAAACCAAGCTCAAGTCCTGGATTATTAAATATGGCCGAAGAGAGTCAGTGGAACTGATGCTACACGACTATGTCGTGAGTTCCCTCTGCTTTCCTTGTTACAATAAAGACCATGAATAAAGTCACCACAAACATAGTTTATAGTTTATCATATTTTTATTATCATTATATGATATCAGAAAGGGTAAAGCGTGAGAAAATAAATGTATGACTAATTGGAATTATTTGTTTTTCTAAGCCATGTTATATTATGTCATTATAGTGTCTTAATTTTCTTTTCCTTTAATCTGTGTTTCAGTCATTTGTGGAGAAACAACGTTTCTTTCAAAAGTACGACACATTGTTCCAGTCCCTGAAACAATCAGCGGAGTCCTACGTCAGTGCTGACAGTTTAGGTCAGTATGTGAAACATGAGCTCTGTTTATATATCCATTTACATTTAAAGTCATTCATTTTTAATATAAAGGGAAGTAAAATGGTTATAAAATATAACTTTCATGATGTATTATTCTACTTTTTTATTAAAGTATATCCAAATATTAAGTTACCAGGGTGATGCTCCATTCAGTTGTAGTTTCTTACCTGTTTTTATTTGAGACTGCACACAGAGAGTGAAGTCAGAATCAAGTAGTTTTGGGTTTAGGTCAGCAGTCAGTTACTGTCAGCAGCAAGTACAGGAAAAAAGATCTGGAACGTTTTGTACATGCAACCTGATGAAATGATTCAAATCCCTTGGAGACTTGTTCTCTCTGCTTTAAAAAAGTGCAAATTCTTTTCTGCATACCTAGAACTCATCTCCTTTCCTAGAAGGTAGAAGTTATAAGATGTTAAAACAAAGGTCAGCGTGAGATTATGGACTTAATTCAGGTACATTAACTCCACCTGTCACTGTCATCATGTAACATGGAGCCATGTCAATAGTGTGTGTTTCCTGTTTTGGAAAATGGTTCAGTTTTTGTGGTGGAGTGGAAACAGCTGCTGTCTTCTCTCTGTCCGTGTGCCATTTTCCTCATCTGCCTGATGCAGCAGGTTTTGACATTAAACTCTTCTGCCTAAGACATCATCTGTCTCCTGAAAAACCATTATCCCGTCTACACATCTTTAGCATCTGACATTGCTGTAAAATACTTCTGCTTAGAGATGAAAAATGCTACTTATTTAATACATCAAGTCAAATTTACTGGATTTGTCAGTACAATGAATAATTCAATGCCTTTTTTTACGAATTTTATTTTATTTCAAGAATTTCAAGAATTCTCTCCTATAGTAAATATTTTCCCTTCACGAATTTGATTTTATTTCAAGAATTCTTTCTCTCCTATAGTAAATATTTTCCCTTTCCCCAACTTTATTTTCTGACGTGTACAGCTCTATAAACACTGAAGCATTCTTCTCTAGGTGCTTAGCCTGCCCATGTCTGGTTTCACAGCTCAGGAGAAGGGGAGAGTCTGCAGGCTACAGCTAAATGAGGCTCCTCCACTCTCTCGGCTCCCAGTAGGGAATACGACCCCATTTGCTAGTTAGGGGTTTGCTCCACTTCTGCGCGTCTCTGGGCACAAAAATGTTTTTTTTTTTTTTTGGTTTCAGGGTTGTGAGGCTTTAGGGTATGCAGAGCAGCGGAAAGGAGTTGTGGTAGAAAATCGAGACATCAGAGAGTTGATTGAACAAACCTAAAAAAATAAATAAGATTGCCCCCACCTTTACTTCTACAAATATCTGAGGCATGCTGTCGTTTGACAGCACGGCTGGATGAACGGCTGTGTGTATTTAAATACTGGTAGCTAATAGTGAAGAAATAGTGAGGTAGTGAGTAACTTCAGGGAAAAGATTTTAAGGTGTGATTAATCTTTTGTTAAGACACTGAACTAGTTGTTTTTTTTGATTGGTGTGTTTAGTTCACATATTCATTTATCTACTCCACACTGACTGGTAGTCGTTTATAGATCAGGGCTTCTGAGACTTAAAGGTTGACAATGCTTCAGGGAGTGAAACACAAAAACAAAGAAAATATATTTCCCTGAAGTGAAATTTTGGGGTCACACACTTATCTGTGCAAGGCCCAGTCAGCCTCGATGTGCTGTGTGTGCTGTGTCTCACTGATGAGTACACAGATACATGTGGACCATTTACCCTGGTCCTAGGTATATTTACAGCTCAAGTTTCTTTAGGTCCTACTGTACTTGTAAGCTTTTGTGACCTTTTCATAAACAGTATATCCAGTGCATATATGTACAACACACAGTGTTTACCAGTGAATGCAGTAAAGTGAGGTACAGTTGCATAGGCTGTGTGCAAAATTAATATTGTTGATACAACTCTGTTCTAGTGGATGAAGGTGAGATGGGGGTGCGCAGGTTCATGCGGGAGGTGGTGACCCAATGGCGGAGTCTGTCCATGGAGCTTCGCAGTGTGAGGAGCATGCTGGAGGAGGTGCTGATCAACTGGGAGAGATATAGCTCTACTGTGGCCTCCTTACAAGCTTGGCTGGAGGATGCAGAGGAGGCGCTGAGCCAGCCTGAAAACACTAGGATGGTAAAGTAGTCTTTATCAACCTGTATCCTGTTCATTTATTTATGTTTATCTTATTTTTACTTTATACAGTTACATGTCTTGAAGTAGTATTCAACAGTATGTCAGGCCTGTAGTTTACCTCAGTGGTACCTCAGTTTACTAGCTGTCTCCACTCGAGTTTTAAAATTTCTACTAGCTGTCTCCACTCGAGTTTTAAATGATCTCCTCGACCTAAACCACGGCTCCAAGGATGTTCCAGTTGTTGCATTGCCATGGTTACATCAGATTCACATCCCCACCAAGGATTAAAGGCCTAATTACCCCAGTTTCTTATTGTCCTTCCTTCAACCCCTTCCTTTGTCTCTTTTTGATTAGCTGTCTTTCTTTTGTCTGTCTTTGTTTCATTTTTTTGTTCGTCATTCAATTCCACAGTGTCTGTGCCTCTGTCGCTTCCTGTTAACATGTCTTCTCTGTTTTCAGGAGTTCTTCCGGAATCTCAGTCACTGGATGGATCAACATGTAACCATGAACGATTCAGGGAATTTCCTCATTGAAACGTGTGATGACAACGTGTCCCTGGAGCTCAAGCAGCAGCTTCTCCTTTTGAATGGACGATGGAGAGATCTCTTCATGAAAGTCAAACAAGTAAACAAATGATAGAGTGTATTATGCATTAAAACCATGATTGGCTCAGCTCTGAAGTCTTTCAGACCACAGCTGGGACACACTACTTGATGCCTGATAAATCTGTATTTACTGTATTTTTCTGCAGTATGCTCGAGTCGAGGAGTTGGAGAGATGGCGGAAAGACCACTTGAAGGCCACCATGACCCTAAAAGAGCTGCTGGACTCAGCAGAGGGCAAGATCAATGCTCCTGTGCAAGTGTCGTTCCTCAATGTAAGAAGCTTCCTGCAGGATGCAGAGGTGAGGAACATTTTTAAAATGTTTTTAAAGTAGTTTTTCTAAGCACTTTCTTTCACTGATAAATTGGGATCAGTACCACTGCTGGTCACTGGGGGCAGGCTTTTACAGATGTCCACAACAGTAATTTTTATAATGTGATTATATGTCATCAGATAAATTTACGTCTTAGTATGACAGCTCTAGTAAATATAATTTTACCTCATATTTTTGACATATCATCTCAGAGTACCAAGCAAAAAGTTGTTGCAATGGAGGCACAGTACAAGTTAGCAGCTCGCAGCGCTCAGCTTCTTGCCAAGGATGCACCACAGGATGAGGCATCCATGGTGATGGCAACGATGTCAACAGCCAAAAGTCAACTGAGCAAGGTTGGTGTCACTGAGAGCTGAAACGTCCTTGGTGCAGAGTTCCATGTTAGTGTTTAACAGGCTGTAGTTTCTTCATCCAGATAAGAGAACGCTGTCCTGCTCTGGTAAGAGAGTGTCACGTTCTTATGCCGCTTCTGGAGGAGATGGAGAAACACATCAGTGCTTTTTACCAAGCACTGGAGCGAGCCGGTCGCATCATTTCTGCTGTGAGAGACCCAGACACACAGCCTCTCACCCAGCACAAACAAAAGTGGCAGGTCAGACGTCATAAGAAAGCACAAAACTTTGAATCAAAACTTCAAATTGTTACGAATTCTCATGTTTGTTTTACTGTGTGATAAAGTAGTTATACAGAATCTGCTTATGAAGTCATTATAAATGTCACATTTGTTTATAAACTAAAATATTTGTGTATTTTTTTCCTTAATCCTTTATTTAATCAAGGACTTATTAAACCAGCAGCAAAACTGTAAGCGATGTCTGTCAGTGATTGAGAGAAACCATCACAACCTGCAGAGGATGCTCTCAACCAATAAGACGCTCCGGAACTTTGACCTGTCATTTATGCAGAAACGTGTGTCTGAAATACAGAGCTCAGCTCAGGTGAGCATGTCTTCGTGTACACCTACAGCATGTACCAAAATACTGCAAAGTAATTACATTACCCCCAGCACTAATTATTTTAATGAGATTACAAACACCCAAGAGGTGACAGTGTCCATTTAGCTCATGTTCCTCATTTCCATTATCTCATGTGTCTCATTACACTTTTGCTTTGCGTAACACAAATTAAATTATTAAACAACACCACCAAAGAAACCAATTATAATCACCCCCAACTTCTGTCTCTCCACACAGGTTTTAGTAAAAGAGGCAGGGGAGTGGAGGAGGCAGGAAGAGGCCAACAACTGTTTGAGGAGAAGGTTCGAAGAGTCACGACAAGAACTGGAAAAAGTGCTGAAGAAAGCTGAGGGCTGCTTGAAGGAGACTGGAGATGCTGAGGCGCTTCTGAGGAAACATGGTGTAAGTGAGGAAAGCATTTGATCTTTTTCAAACCTTGTCTCCTAGTACTATATGAACCTTGTGATTTCTTTATCCAGGATATTTTTGGTCAACTGGACCATCGGATGCTGAGCGTCTTTTTGAAGGCGTGCGATGAGCTGACTGACATCCTACCGCAGGAGGAACAACAGGGGCTTCAGGAAACGGTCCGCAGGTTGCACAAACACTGGAAGGTCAGGAGGTCACCATGCTGCTTTAGCCCTCACTAATTACTGTGCATCTCCTGCGGCCTTAAGTCATTGCTTCATTAACTTAACCAGTGTCATCTTTGACTCTGATGTATTCAGTTGACCTGTGCTGTTCAAATGAAATATTTCTCCTCTCAGCCTTAACTCACAGTGTTGGTTAGTGCAGAAGTCTGCAGCCTGTGGCTAACAAGCCACATGTGGTTGTTCTCTTTGTCTGCTGTATGTTTTGGTAACAACTAAATGTCATGTTTGATGTTGTTTTGTGGTAAAAGAAAACGTATCTTTAAACGTATTAAATACAAATATTAATGTCCTAATGGATATCTGCTGTCTCAGTACTGTCTCCAGTGTTTATCTCAATAACTTTAAAGAACATTATCATAATAAATAATGTTAAAATCAATGTTTGAATCCATTTATATGTTATGGTTAATCTTGTACTTAAAATGCCAGGGCCTTAAATGCAACAGATTTCAGTTACGCTCTTGCACATGTGCAAGAGGACGGCTTAATTTGCTTGCTAACAGCAAGCTCCACTTTGTATTGTTTATGTACTTTTCCCAGGATGTCCAGGCTAAAGTGCCTATTCACCTGCTGCATCTTAAGCTGGAAGTGGAGCAAAGTCGAATCGCTGTGATCTTACAGGACTGCAGATCAGAGCTGGACAGAGAAATACATGCCTTGTCTGGTACCTGCACCAGTGAGCGAGTGGTCAAAGAGCACAGAGTGAGCCTCCTAATGAAGCCCCCAAAGATGGAAGTTTAATTTGACCTATAGTAACTGTCCTCATGACTCTGTGTCATCTCTAGAGTTTCTTCAGGGAACGTAAACCTCTGGCCCTGTGTGAGAAGAGGATCAGAAACATGGAGGACCTCTGTCACAAGTTACCTGACAACGACCCAGCTTACAGAACGTTAGATTCCACCAGAAAAGCTGTGGAGGAAGTTACACAGAACATAAGGAGAACCCTCCTTAAACTGGAGCAACACCCTGACAAAT